TCACAGGCTGGTGCACCCCCACTGGTACAGCTTTGGGCAGGCGCTCTGTGAGGTGGCCGGCCTCCAGGGGGGACGGAGCCCTGGCTGGCTCACTGTCTGCAGGGACACACGCATCCTCGACCATCAGCTTTCCCAGAGATTCCTGGCACAATGGCAACTGCCAGTCACTGTCAGTAGCTTTCACGTCCTGTGTGTGACAACATAACATAATATATGGAGCAGGGCTGATTTGGAAAACTTCAAAAGGTCACTGGACGAGGAGCCGGAAGATCCAGATTCTGATCTTAACATCCCCTAGGAATTGCACGGCCCTGTCACTCTTCCCTAAGCCTCAGTTTTCTCAATTCTTACACAGGGATGATAACAACTTGCCCTGTCTAACTCACAGACATTTAAAAGATGACTAAATGAGACAGCAGTTCTGAGAACAGTGTGCAGCACCCCAAAGGCTAACTGTATGTAAAGTATCGTTGTTGTACACCGATAGCCAAGACTAGATACAACAACTCCTTAGCTTGCCAGTGAGGAGAACTACTCTGTAGAAATGATATTTAATTGTAATATTTCAACATCTCACTTTAATTTTTCTTCTTTTCATCTAATATCCACTGTAAATTTTTAAAAAAAATTTGCTCAAAAATTTTTAAATCTACCTCCTGAGTTAATAAAAGTGGCCCATAGGTGGCAGCAGAGGGAAGTGGTGGCAGTGCCTTGCTGCTGTTCTAGTAAAAAATCATTTAGTGACGTGTCAATTACCGACCGAGGGAAAGCTACCAGCGCTCAACTCCCTTTATTTTCTGTTTACTGAAAAGGCGTAAATGTAATAGAAAAATAGTAGATGCGGACCTATTTGCCAAAAGAGAAATTTTTTGTGCAAGCTTTCAAAATTTGACAACAAACACTTCATGGCAAGGCTTTCTGCTTTCTTTCTCATGTAGAAATACAATCCCATTTGGAACTAAAAGTTTTGCAAGAAAAATTAAGCTTCTTTTTTGTAAAAAACTCTTTTGTGAATGATTTGTAAGTGCTGTTGAGAAGTTCTTATTGAGGAAAACGTATTCATACTCACAGAAGATTCTGATTTGAGTAGATACAATTTGTTATGAATAATTATCCTGATTTGGCTTTATATGGTCATCCAAAACTTGTTGGTGATACATATATATACATATGTGTGTGTGTATATATATATATATTTACTTTCAATATGTGCAGTTAATTGTATGTCAATTATGTATCAATAAAGCTTGGGAGGTGGGGGTGGAGACAGAGAGAATGATTATGAAAGGCTACAAGAGTCAGAAGCGAAGATGTGAGACTTTGGCTCCGTTACTTTGGATGTGTCATCAAGAAAGAGGAATTACTGGAAAAAGACATCATGTTTGTTAGAGAGTTAGTAAAAACCTAACATGGGAGGGAAGGACACAGGGAAGAGGTGACTACAGGGAGGAAGTGGGAAGAGAGCAGTTACACTGTGGGGAATTGTAGTCAACGTCATGAAACAAAATGTGTGTGAACTGCTGTACTAACCACCTGCTGTTACAGCAAGAGTTTCCCAAGCAGTCAGTGTATGTAACGGAGGGACGCTGTGGAAGCTAATTCTCTAATCATTATCCTTTCTTTCAGGCAGTAAGAGAGATCGACACAACAGTTTCAACAATGGACTCAAATATAGTTGATGATATTTTAAAAAGA